CACTTTATGCGCATGTGAAAAGTGGCACATGATGATGATGAGGCGACTGCTGATGATGCTCCAATCATTTGGCGCTGAGACGCTTAACGATTGGCTTTCTTTCGCAGCTGGAGAATGAGGAATGAGGAATGAGGCACACAGCATGGGGAAGTCAAAGAAAGCAAGCTAACACACACGCACACACACACGCACACATACATGCATACACCGAAATGTGCAAAAAGGCAGCTCAAATAAATAAGCGCAGAATACAGAACTGGTTGCTCTCTGCGCTGGCGTAGCGTGCAGATACATAAGTATCTACAAGATACAGACATATACATAGACCGCTGGTCAGTTGGTGTTTGGGCAAAAAAAGAAAAACAACAAAAAGAACTAAAATGGAAATGGCCAGGAAGCAGCGCATAAAACATAATACTGCGGATGCCTAGGGTCTTGCTCTCAACTCACATTGCCTCTCTATCTCTGTCTCTGTCTTTCACTTAATTAGCTTAACCGCTATTACACTTATTAAATGATTATTTCACTTTTATTCACGCGCAAAAAAACCAACAACGATCGACTATGACGCCAGGCACAAAACTCGATTCTCGTTCCGAATATATATTTTGTTGCTTTACTTTTTGCGCTTGTTTTTTTTTTTGTCGTTGGTTTTCTTTTTTTTTGCCGACTGTTTCCGACGAATTTTTAAACCGCAGCAACGTCTTAACGACGCGACGCTCGCTCACCTTCTGTCGATCTGGCCGTCTTACCTGTTGAGCCAATGCTGCTACTCGCGTTCTTTGCTGGCCAACGGCGTGCGTGATTCGGCCAAACAGTGGTAAATACTGGTTTCGTGCCTGTCGCCGGTTTTGTTTTGATACACATTTCGCGCATGCGCAAAACGAGTGGCAATGAAATATGCGCCAGTGTGTACACACTCGGCGTGGAAATTTTACGTAGTTCATTTTCTGCGGCAGCCTTAAAATATGTTACACATTTTTGTTATTCAATGCGAAATTTAAAGAGGTAATCAAATTTATGACAGTTATGAGAGCCTAGGTCCAATGTAGAAAATATTAGGAATCCAGTTGGAAAATTGGAAGAAAAATGAAATTTAAAAAATTGAAAAAAATAGCAGCAAAATTTTAGCCTAAATCTAAATCAAAAAGGTGAATAATTCTCCAATTCTAAAGCAAGCCAAGTTCCACTTCAAGGTAAAGGGACTCTCAATTAGTCCAGTTCACATAAGGAAATCGTAAAGTGAATGGATCTTTCCTATTCTAAAGAATTGTCTCTATGATTTTCCGTTTTCCCATAAGCAGGTTTCCTTCTTTCTCTCTCTCTGTCTCTCTCCCTTTCTCTTTCTCCCTCAAAAATTAGACTTTTCAAAATCAAACACTCACATTGATACAAACACTAAAAATATTTAATGTATTTATTATATGCATATTGTTATATAGATAAGTCCTACAACTAGAACGATTTAGAGCGCATCATCCACCTGGAACTGTATCAGATCCTCAACGGGAAAGCGAAAGAGCGAAGCGGTTTGTGCCTCAGCAGCCAGTTGATCGATGTGGGGATTCTTGTGATAGCGAATATGTTCGCCTTGAACGCTGTAACGTCCTCCATGATTGGAGGACAGAGCTGGGTGGCCGGTGAATGCAGCAGGTTGCGGTAATTGGGGCGGCTGCGGCACCTCGGCTGCGACAATGGGATGCTCAAAGTCAATGAGCGAGAGATTGTCGCTGCGTGAAATCGGTTGATTTACAGGTTGTTGTTGTTGTTGTTGAGTGTGGTTCTGCTGCTGCTGCTGTTGTTGCTGCTGCAGCTGTTGCTGTTGTTGCTGTTGCTGCTGCTGCTGTTGCTGTTGCTGTTGCTGTTGCTGTTGCTGCTGCTGTTGCTGTTGTTGCTGTTGCTGCTGCTGCTGCTGTTGTTGCTGCTTTTGCTGCTGTGACTGTGTGGCAGACACCTGTCGCGGCTCGACGGGACTCGGTGGCTTGGGTAGTGGCTGCTCCCGGTCGCTGGCGCTGAAAGTATTGCGCTGCAAGCCCGAAAAGTTGTGATTGTAAAAGGGATTGGTGGAGGCGCGCACCGCTGGCGAAGTCTTCTGCTTGGGAAAGACATTCAGATGCAGCATTATCTGATTGCTGCTGCTCTCCACGGCTCCACTATTGGCATTGCCGTTGCTGCTGCTCACGGCTGGGCCATAGACGCAGTCATCGTTCTGCTGGGACTGCGGCGCATACTTGCCGGACTGGTAGACTGCCTGCTGCTGGCTGTAGCGTATGGACTGATCGGGAAAGATCATCGGCAGGTGGCTGGGCGGCTGCGTGGGGAACTTGAAGGGCGTCTGGTACAGACTCTGCTGCAGCTGCGGCTGCGCATAGATGGAGCCAGGCGAGGAAGCCAGCGCACCGGCAGTGGGCACTGCGTAGTCGCTCGGATAGGGACTGCGCAGCACGGACGTGGGCCTAGAGGGTGGCAGCACCGGGTAGATGTCCAGGTTCACCTTGAAGGGAATGCGCTTGTGCTGCGGCTGGCGCGTCGCATTCAGCGCTATGATGGGCGGAAAGCTCTGCAGAAAGGGATCGACCAAGAAATGTTGCTGGCTGCCGTGCTCCAGCAGCATGTTGTTGTAGTTGCTCTGCTCCTGCTGCTGCTGCTTCTGTTTCTTGTGCTTCTTCTTGGAGCTGGGCTTGCTAACGGGCGCCTGCTGCAGGGCCAGCAAATTGATGTCCTGTGGCGAGCGCGGCTTATATGGATACAGCTGCTCGATGGCTACGCGCTGATGTGGCGCACCTGGGTACAGGGGCATCGGCACGCCCATGGGAAACATGGGCAGCGGAATGGTGAACTGCATCTGCTTCTTGCTGCGCTTGCCCCGAAAGAAGTTGGCAATGCCACTGGACTTGAGGTTCTTGTAGCTGCCCGCAATGTGCAGCCCGGTGGGCATCATGACCAGGCCGGGCATCTTGCTGGGCAGCGGATTGTTGATGTGCATGTTGTGCAAGATGTCCTGGATGTTGTTCAGGCGCTCCGCCTCGCCCTTCTTGAACTGCTCCGGCAGCGGACCGTCGAAGGGAAAGTGAAACGGCTTCGGCTTGTAATCATCGCGCATAGCCAGCGTGCCTGGCGTCTCGGAGTATTGGCGCCGCAGCAACGCCGCCGCCGATGAGGGCGGCCGCTGCGTGGAGAGGCGCGGTGGGCGGGGCAGCTGATCGCGCAAAAGATCACGCAGCGGCGTCATGGTGACGGCTCGCTTAGGCAGCCGCTCATACAGATGATTATCGCCAGCGTCGCCATCATCAGGCGTTGCGTGCTGCAGCCCGTTCCCGTTGCCGTTGCCGCCGCTGCTGCTGACGCCTGGCGGCTGGGGTCGTCTCGCTTTCGTGCGCCATGTTCCGTAAATGGGCGCAACATCGTCGGCACGCTCCAATAAGTAGGCAGTTTCGCCAGCACCACCACCAACACCACCACCACCAACACCTGTGCCACTCTCCACCTCCAGATCCTCCACATCGTTGGCGTGCAGGTGGAGCTGCTGTTGCATTTGCTGCAGATGCAGCTGCATCTGCTGCTGCTGCAGACGATATTGCTGCTGCTGCTCGTGCTGCAATTGCTGCAACTTGGCACGCATCTTCTCAATGTTTAAACGTTCCGCCTCTTGACTCGAGTTGTCGTCACTTTCAGTACTGGGCGTTGTCTCCGACAGCGTCTGGCCCTCAATCTGGTTGAGTAACTGCTGCTGCTGCTGCTGTTGCTGCTGCTGCTGTTGATATAAGGCTGCTGTTGATGCGACCTTGACGACCATAAGAGACATCTGTAAAATGGAAAGTTTTATTCGCCCTGCACTGATCTAATAGCACTCGTCTCACAATTGTGTACACATAGAGCAGGCCCATAGTCCGTGGCCAGCGGCCGCTATTAGCCTTTTGCTTTGCGCCGCCTTTGGCAGGATGTGGATCCCGCAGCGATTTATCGTGTAAGTCGGGCTCCGGCTGCACTCTTGGCTTTATAAACATTTTTTCACAGTAAAAATTGTTGATATCGGTATCTGTTGGCGCACCGGACGCGACTTCCTCATCGCGAATCGCAAAGACGACTGCTTGCAGCTGCGGCCAAGCAGCCCCTAAAAAACTTGCGGCTGCACTTAAGCAGCTAATTAGAAAGTTTAACATACGAAAGCAAAATAATAGACAAATAAATTAATTGCCTAAATGATTTCGTGCGCCCGATCTCGGCGTGGAAAAGAAAATGAGATACTTCAAAGGCAGACACCATGAACAGCACAAGATCGCGCCGAGCCATGCACGCGATAAAGAATCCAAAGCGAGAAACAATTGCTTAGCCGAAGTGCCTAAAACTCTGCTCAATTGAGTGCAAAGTCAAGCTGAATAAAGTAATTATCGAATTTAAATAGTTTTAAGGCTAATTAAACAACATTTGACACTAGCCCAAAAGTTGATATTTCGACAGATGAACTGAAATTCTTGATGGAATAAATTTACTTGAATATTTATATAACATAGATAAAAGAGATCAACTTCCATCTAAAACTTCTGAAATACTGTAAGACCTTATCATATCACTACTAACATCATTATACTAATCATCATTATATACATCAGCATGCATAGCTAAGATCATATCATGTCAGCGTTAACTACCTTATACGACATGCATTATATATTTGATCATGCATTCCTATATATGATCATCATAATCATAATCATCGTGCAATGCTCATCATGCATCTAAATTTCGAGTCACGTCTTATTCATCACATCCAATACAAACCTTTCGATAAAGTCATACGATCCACTCTTTTGAAGTTTCAACCTCACGCGAGTTTTATCTGCTCTTAGCATAACTTTAGAAAACAAAAACTTAATATTAATAATAATAATAATAATAATAGCAAGTCCTGAAAACACTTCCCGTTGTCCAATTGAATATGCATTGAAACCACATTTCATAAACCCAGAGTTGGTTGAGTCTTTACAAATGATTATAAATGGTGTTTGTTTTCATTTTATTTGAACATAGAGCTAAATAGTCTTGAGACGGGAGACATAAAACATAGCAAGAGCGTATTATAGTACATATTTAAGAAGTTTACAAAAAGTTAGATACATATACAGTGATCCCTAATTGTATGAGTATGCGATTCATTAATTCATAAAAACAAACAAGTTGAATTCTTGCTGACGCTTCAGTGGTATCGCAATTTGGAGCACCCTCATGAAACGCTGTAAAAATCTTTTCGACTGCATTGACTAGATGTATCTAGCCCTATAGATATGGTTGGCATTTGCATTGCTAGATATATTTAGAGAGCATCAGTTATTGCTTCCCCTCCCTCAGACAATAATATTTCAATTAAAATGAAATGAAATGTCACCCATCTGCCTTTCGAGCGTCGTTGAATTCATCGACGGCTATAACTGTGCTGCTGTACGGGTGCTTAAAAGTCAAAGGGTATGCTGGGTTTGGGATAGTCGTAGCCCACGTGCTTGGTCGGCTTCGGTGTTGTCACAATAGTCCTGGTGGTCCTAGGGGTCGTTATCCTCTGGGTGGTAATTATTATTGGAGTCGTACGGGTTGGCGGAGGTGTTACTCTACGGGTGGTCGATGGAGGCAAGTACGTGGTTGGTGGACGGGTGATTGGTGGACGAGTGGTAGTCGCACGGGTTGGCGGAGGTGTTGGCTTACGGGTGGTAATAATTACTGGGGGTTGGGGTTTGTTTGTAGGAGGCAAATAGGTTGGTCCTACAGTACTGGGTGTGGGCCTACGGGTAATCGGTGTGGTTATTACCCTACGGGTAGTCGTTGTTGGCCTACGGGTAGTCGTTGTTGTCCTACGGGTAGTTGAGGGAGGCAAGTACGTGGTTGGTGGGCGGGTGACTGGTGGACGAGTGGTAGTAATCACTGGAGGCCTAGTCGCACGGGTTGGCGGAGGTGTTGGCCTACGGGTGGTGATAATTACTGGGGGCTGGGGTTTGTTTGTAGGAGGCAAATAGGTTGGTCCTACAGTACTGGGTGGGGGTCTACGGGTAATCGGTGTGGTTATTACCCTACGGGTAGTCGTTGTTGGCCTACGGGTAGTCGTTGTTGGCCTAGGGGTAGTCGTTGTTGTCCTACGGGTAGTTGAGGGAGGCAAGTACGTGGTTGGTGGGCGGGTGACTGGTGGACGAGTGGTAGTAATCACTGGAGGCCTAGTCGCACGGGTTGGCGGAGGTGTTGGCCTACGGGTGGTAATAATTACTGGGGGTTGGGGTTTGTTTGTAGGAGGCAAGTAGGTTGGTCCTACAGTACTGGGTGGGGGTCTACGGGTAATCGGTGTGGTTATTACCCTACGGGTAGTCGTTGTTGGCCTACGGGTAGTCGTTGTTGGCCTAGGGGTAGTCGTTGTTGTCCTACGGGTAGTTGAGGGAGGCAAGTACGTGGTTGGTGGGCGGGTGACTGGTGGACGAGTGGTAGTAATCACTGGAGGCCTAGTCGCACGAGTTGGCGGAGGTGTTGGCTTACGGGTGGTAATAATTACTGGGGGCTGGGGTTTATTTGTAGGAGGCAAGTAGGTTGGTCCTACAGTACTGGGTGGGGGCCTACGGGTAACCGGCGTGGTTATTACCCTACGGGTAGTCGTTGTTGGCCTACGGGTAGTTGAGGGAGGCAAGTACGTAGTTGGTGGACGGGTGACTGGTGGACGAGTGGTAGTAATCACTGGAGGCCTAGTCGCACGGGTTGGCGGAGGTGTTGGCCTACGGGTGGTGATAATTACTGGGGGCCTCGTCGTCACAGGTGGCTGTGGCCTATTTGTAGGAGGCAAGTAGGTTGGTGCCGGAGTAGTGCGAATCGGAGGCCTGGTAGTTGGTGGTTGAGTTGGTGGGCGAGTTGGTGGGCGAGTTGGTGGTTGAGTTGGTGGGCGAGTTGGTGGGCGAGTAGTCACTGGAGGCTGAGGCCTGTTCGTGGGTGGCAAATAGGTTGGAGGTGGAGGAGTACGAATGGGAGGCCTGGTGGTTGGTGGTAGAGTTGGTCGGCGAGTAGTCACTGGAGGCTGAGGCCTATTCGTGGGTGGCAAATAGGTTGGAGGTGGAGGAGTACGAATGGGAGGCCTGGTGGTTGGTGGTAGAGTTGGTCGAGGCGTAGTGGTCACTGGTGGCTGTGGCCTATATGTCACAGGTGGCACAGTGGTGCGCGGCGGCAAAACAAATGGCACATCTGGTACAGGATAGGAGTATCCCTCTACAGCGCGAACCTTACGCTGAAATTCATCAATTATTCTATGAATGATCTGTACTGTATTTTGGTTAGATGTCCATGTACTTACCACATGCGTGTCAGCCGATGCGGTGGCAAAAGCCACAGCGCAGAGCCCCAAGACAAAAAGTGCACTTCTCTGTGGGAGAACGAAACAGAAATAAATCGAGTTAGTACGGATGGCTAAAGAAGATGTTCAAACGAAGCTGTTTGGCTGTTAGCTTGCCACAATCGCTGACACCTGAGCTAAGTACCTTATCGAATTATTGTCTAATACTTGGTGCTAAAGTGGTTTGCTCTAGGTCTAAATGCAAGGCAACATTGTTAAAGCATAGACAGCAACGTTTAACGGCACAAAAGTCGTTTGTTAAAGTTCAGACGTTGTCTGCCATTTGCATATAACAACAACAACAGCAACAACAACAACAACAAATAACTGGCAATTACAATAAAGATGTTAGCGTGTAGAGTGTTGAGTCGAAGGCATTCAACTTTGACATCATCTCTAGGTCACGGTAGCGATCCGAAACCTAGCCAAACTCGATTGTGCTCTCAAATCTCTGATCCACAAACCAATTAAAACCACGAAAATCACAATGAAAAGCAAAACGACAAAATACAGGTGAAATAATTAATTGACTTTGGAGACAAGATGTCTGACCACAAAACAAACAAAAAATTAATAAATGAATAAAATAAAATCAGCATAGATTAAACCTTCTTCCGTGGCTGTCAACGAATCTAATGTCTTATAATTTGCATATTATCCGATCTGGGCAAGGTCGTCAACGGAGAACGTTAACGAAAGTGGCTAAATGGCTATGACTGCAATTAATTTGCGGACATCTCAAAATCACTGACAATTTCTTGATAACTAATGTACGTGCGGTTACCATCTACAGAAATAGCTAATTATGCTATAAACCAGCTGCGCCAGTCAGCCAACAAAAATTCTGGCTGACTAGTTTTTTTTTGCTTTTTTTTTTTTTTTTTGTCAGAGACTACGCGATTATATAACAATAATCTGCGACCCGCCATTAATAAAGTGAGAAAAGCTGAAGTCGTCGCTAAAACCAAATTAGCATACGCACTAATCATTGATCGACGCCATAAAACTGAGGCCATATGCCCAAATTCCTATAACAAAAGAATCTTTTCTATACATACATATATAATATAAATAAATATATGTAAATTCGTAGGTATTCTAGTCGAAAGTTTGAGTTATCGTCAGATCTTTAAAAAGACAGCAACCACACACAATTCATAGCATATTGAAATGTAAATGAATTTTAAAATTTGGTTGTTAATGAACTTGAAATTTAATCGAGATAGTCTAAACTCGTTTTATATTCAATTGCTTGAATCGTGTAGATGCTGAACATGGAGCTTAGTTAACACCTCGAAGCTGGAAAGTGAAACAATATCAAAGAAACATCCGCTTCCAGTTTTTTTTTTTTTTTTTTTTTTTTTTTTTTGGATTACCTCATAAAAAGCCTAATGAAGTGATGTTAACTCTGATATTAAGAACTTAAAGACCTATTAGTCTTATAGACTTTGAAAAAAAAGGTTTGCTTTAGCCAGACGTACTGAGTCCTTATGTCATATTAGTTCTTCTTCATTTGGTTTTTCATTTGACTGTAATTTAATATGCTAATTTATGGTTAATTAATTTGTTTTACAACCGATCTGACCTTGCGTTCATATCGGAAACGTCAATGACGACGCTCATTTAGGTCAAGCCATCAACGAAAGTGAGCGAATGCTACACGTTTCCATTAATGAAGACTTTTCGGATGATTTATGTAAAGTGGCTTAGGTGATTTTCAAATTGGAAAAACACGAACCACTTCTGATTGATTTGAAAATTAAATGAAAAGTTAAATAATCTTGAGCAGAAACAAAAAAAAAGGATAAAGTTAATATTTTTACCCGTCTAGATATAAATTGGATTTAAATATAAAATTCTTGAATATTTTTTTTTGCCTTGATTTATTTTTTACTCCATGAGCACTAATTGCTCTTCAATATATCATCTTTATGATTTTTAAGCCTCTTTAATCTGCCTTTGGCACTTTCAATCGCGTCTTTGATCTTTTGCCGTACAACTGATTGTTGCAATCGAAAGACTTAGGCAACGAACTTGATGCAGTTAATGAACCGATCGACGTTGATCATCTCTCAATGGCACAGCCAAGAATTCTACATCGAGCTATAACTAAAGGCAACATTTAATGGTCATTTGCCTAAATATGCCAATTCAAATGTCAATCCATGAAATGTATGGATAATTTGCAAACGATGCAAACGAGTTTTCATCTCATTCACTGCGTTGACATAGAAGCCCTGGCTAAAACGATGCCAGCCAGAGCTTCTGCTGCCAACTGAAACTCATGTTAATGATTAAAGACGCAATTGCTGACAGCTGAGCTAGCCTGGCAGAATGCCACACGGTGCAGACCACGTTCACGTTGCTCTATCCACGTGGGCGCAATGGGCGTATGCGTAATGTGGCTAAAGATATTGCCGTTCGCTCACTAGCACTGGCACAATGTGGCCCAACCGGACGTGTAATTACGATTAAATACATAAACTCTAAATGTCACTTGGATCGTAAGATAAACAGAGCTCTGCACCTGCTCTGCCTTGTTATACATACAAATTTATATAGAGTATATATACAGTATATAGCAAAGGCAAAGTACGAATAATTGATTTTTGTGGTTCGTCCGATTGTCTTTTCTTTCTTCTTGCTTTTAGCAACACTTCTTTTTGAACACTTTTTATCACGATTGTCTTTTATTTCCAATACAGATTGGAACAAGGTTTAGTTACCATATTGAGCACTTTTAACTGCAACGGACGGCAGCCAGAAAACGTTTATATATATTTTTTATACAGAGAATATATATCCCGACAGTTTATTGTGTTTCGTGTATAATCCTTGAATGTGTCGATCGTATCAAAATTCAATGGTCAATTGAATTTTGGATCGATGCTGAGCAAAAAAATTGCCTCAACTTCTGGGTCGACTCTGGGCTAGCAACTAAAGCATCAAAACTTGTGGATTCTCTACTTATATATACTCGGGGCGTCAGATCCAACGCTGTCGCAGTTGCTGCTGCCGCTTCTGCTGCTGCTGCGGCGACGACGACGACGACGACGACCTGGGCGACAGCTGTTAACACTCGCAACGAGTGAAGATGCTGCCAACAAAGACGCTGACGCCAACAACTGACCAACCCGTTGCCAGTTTTCGGCCAGGTATTCGATCGCGAGTCTCAGTCGCTCGGCAGCTGCGCAGCCGCTGTGGCGAGCGCTGCTCTTGATGCTATTGTTGTTGCCTTTCAACAGTCGCATAACATAACTGAACGCACTAAAACAAAATAATCATAGTTTATTAAATTTTAAAATATGCAAATCAATAAAAATAGAAAAAATCACAGCAGCAACATCAGCAGCGTCATCAGCACCTGAGACAATGCCTACAAATTTTGTTGATTTTTATATTGACTTTTCTATTTAGCTACTTTTATTTGTGCAAATATATTAGAAGACTATTGACTGGGTCTAAGCCCAGACCAATTCCTCAGCTTGAACTCTTTTTTTTTTCTTCATCTCTATTTTGATTTAAGTTTCTTTAGTCTTTTTTTTCTGGCTGTTGTTGTTGGTGCTCGCTTTGAGTAATTTGAACGCCCCTGGATAATGTGGTCGCCGTGTGTTAAACATATTGTCATGCCAAGTCTAATTTGTAAACGAGATTAACATTCGAAGACGAAGATGTTGTAATTTTGGCAATCGCTTTCAAGGCTTGAATCGATGCGAAGCAATGGGCAAATAGCTATTTAGTTGAGTTGCAAATGAAATTAGCTGCCGCTGCTGCTGCTGCTGCTGCTGCTGCTGCTGATGCATTCCATGCAGGCGTTGTCTAAGTGCAAACATGGCCAGGCATGGCTCGCAGAGATTACAGCTGTTTGTGGCTGAGATTAGGCCTAAAGCAACAGAGATGAAGATGAACCGGTTGCTGATGCTGGCGATGATGCTGGTGCTGGTGCTGCTGGTGCGTATGGCGGGTCAGTCGTGTCGTCCAACTTTGGAATTGAGCTCTGAATGTTAAGGTAGGCGCACACACAGACGCTGCAGCCCCAATAACCAAATGACCTTTAAACGCAAAATGAAAAAAACATAAAAAACAACAACAACAACATGAGCACACACACACGCTCGACAATCGCCCGTACACTTTTAGTTTTTCAATAAAAACAAAAAAGATGCAACCAGATGGAGATGGAGATGCAGAGATGCAGAGATGCGAATGCGAGATATGCGAGTGCCAGAGCCAGTGCAACTGAAGCCATTGGCGCATCATTTTTGCGCGTCCGAGCGGCTGACAGCAGCAGTCGAAGCAGCAGCAGCAACAGCAGCAGCCAAACGGGTTTCCAATTCTCTTCTTTTTTTTTGTTCATTATTATTTTAAGCTGCATTTATTAATTTGTGATGCCCAAAACATGCTCAAGCGGCAGTCACGCCAAAGTGTCGTTAAAACGGCTCCGAGCTGAACCATTTTGGCTGCTGCCCACGCGACAACAGCAACAAAAAGACACTCGAGGCCCATCAAAAGCTGAAACTGATGCTCATCGAGCTGACGACGGCTTTGCATATTTCAAATATTTGTCGCTTGTCGCGTATCTAGATCACTTTTTCATGAATGAAGTGCTAAACGGGACAACAATTGGCGTTTGATCTGTGTGTGGACAAGTGAATAAATACACTTGTCGACAGCCAGCGAGAGCAGATACAGATTTAAGCAAAAAGCAATCATAGAGAGCGACTGCAATTTGCTAATACACAAAATATTCTTCAGATCTGGTTCTGTGCCACACTGAACAAAAATTGATTGAGTTAAGGAAGATTAATGAATGCTAAAATGAGGCAGAACTAAAGGAAATCTGGAGGAAGTGCGAAGAAGCAGAGAATATGATTCTACTCTGTTAAAAGAGAAAAGGTTCAAAGAAAAAGGTAGGATCAGAGGAAACAGTCTAGAATGATCCCAAGAGGGAAGAGGGAAAATTTGGAGATATAAGAAACAGAAAACAAAAGTATACACTCAGAAAAAAAAGTGTGAAAGTAGAGGGGAGAAAGCCCAGCAGGAAAACTCAGGTGGGCAGACACAAGGGAACGTGAGAAGAGGGAAGAAGGAAGTGGGATGAGAAAAGAGGGAAGGCAAAAAAAAAGTAAGCGGGAAGAGAGTTGAGAGAAGAGAGAACGGAGAAGAGCGGAGGCAAGAAAAAGAACAGAAAAGAGAAGAGGAAAATATTCTGACGGAGAGATAAAAGAAAACGGAAAAAAAGGAAAGAGAGAAGGGTAAAGCTAGAAGAGGAGAGAAAAACGCATATTGAAGAGAAAAGAAAACTAAAGAATGAGGCAAATGCTGAGTAAGAAGTGATCAGGGAAGATGAAGGTAAGCAGCTGAAAGACAGATGAGATAAGACGGAAAGCCAAAGAGAGAAGAGGGGGAAAAGAACCAAGAAAAACGAGAGAAGCTAACTACGAGTCAAACGACAGCTTTTGCATTTTCAATGATGTGTTTAAAAGCTAAAAATAGTTTGCGTTTTCGTTCTTCCGTCTGCAAATTGATTTGCAAATAGCCATGCTATGCAGCTATTTAGCTATTTGTCAATAGTTTCGTAGCCAGAAATTCTCTCAGTGTACGCGCTGCTAGTTCGAATGACATTATTAAAAGCTGTTTATATCTATCTGCTAAAGTGGCTATCAGCGATGTGTGTTAGCAGTCATAATTGCGTGCTGCACAGTGAGTGCTATGCAATGGCAGGGGCCATCAAATGCTCCTAAATGAGGCAGACTCGTAAACAGTTTGGCTTTAGGAAGTCACCCCAAGAAGCTAATTGCTTGGATGACCGTCACAAGCACACACTTATGCATCCGCCTATTAGATATTCTTTTTTATGGGGAAACCTCCACCTAGACGGAGATCAGATGACCAGATGAACGATGCTCGGCGCTGTGCGCTGTGATGCTGACCATTCGGGTCGCAACTTGCTTTACACAGAGGCAATGACACCGGCTGACATTTTCGAGAAGTCATTGTGACAAGAAAATAATAATAATAATAAAAAAAACTGAATTGTAATTCAGAAAAATCATGCCAAAAACTTGATAGAGGAAAGAAAACTAAATAGTTTTCGGCGGCATCATGGCTGCTTGCAACATGTGCCTGTTGCTATGATGAAACGAAATTAAAGCTTGAGTGTTATCCAACTGCGGTGTAAAGATGTAAATGAGCGAAGAACGTGCCAATACTCTGCTTTTTCTCTATTTGATTGATCAAGCAGAGAGTGTCTGTGTATGTGCGTGTGTGCGCATAAAATTGATTAAAATTAATTACAAAACTGGCTTGTCAAATTAACGCACCCGATGTCCGTGACATGGGCCAAAGCCAGATGTATTGACAGCGATGTCTAACCAGATTCTAGACAATGTTGTATATAGTATAAAATAATATAATATATATGCATGTATAGCTATGGTATTTATGTATGTGTATAAATTAGCAACATTTTAGAGAAGATAACCCTTAGTTTTTTGTTGTTTTTTTTTTTCTTTTTTTTTACGGAAATAACATGTAACTTTTTATTATAGCTAAAATATCTCGTTTAATTAAAAGCAAGTTTATTCATTTAAGTTCATGCGTCAATCTTTCCATTTTAGGTGTTAAATGACAGCAAGGAAGAAATGTATCAATATCTGTCTATGCGTAATTAAAGAGCCTCACGCACAGCTCTTTAAAATTATAATCAAAGCCATCTATTATATGGCCTATAGACTAAATATTATGGCATAGGCTTTGCGATTTCTCATATTACTCTTTCACATGATTCGCCAGCTTTGTATATATTAAAAATTGGCGGATCTAATAATATAAACATCGTAAAAAGAACAAAGAACAGACATGTATTATATATGTACATATGCATATACATATACATACACATACATATACCTATACTAGCAAATGTCAGAATGTGCTGCGCAGCACAAGAGAATACAACTTTTTGGACATTTTAAATTGTGCTTATGATTTATGCAAATTTATCCTTTATATACATACATATATGTATTTATGTATGCGATCGCATCTACATACTAGTCAAGGCAGAGCAAATTTTATTACTTGTCAAGCTGCTTTAGATTTATATTTATGTAAATGAGCCGACTATCAGACAGACCCAACCAGACTCGACCAACTAGTTCGGTTTCGGATTTAAGTTATTTGTTATAATTTATGTTTCAATTTTGGCTATTTTAGAGTTTAAGGAAGTTTACGGTAAATTGAAATAGAACTGATAAGGTGTGGGATACACTCGAAATCTGGAGAACAAAGCTCGCTTCTGGTCTTTTGTTTACCATAATATGGAAAAGTCTAGAATTGACTCAATTTCTATGCTAAAAATGAATGCTTCAAGAAGCATGAAGGCAGTGTAGCCAGCTTAGCCTATTTTAGGCTAGATCTAGCCAATTTCATAAGAAATCCATTAAAACTGAGTATGGAGTGGAATAGCCAGAAATTGAGGCAGACTATGCAATACTTAACATAACTGTAGAATAATAATTATCATATTATAAATATTAGTGTACATAAGCTATTTAGCATATCACCATTTAGCCAAATCAAGCACATACATATATTCAAAAGCAATGTACTGAGTTAATCCGATTTAATTATGCGTGTCTGTTTGCCATACATACATACATATGTATGTTCGTATGTCCGTCTCTCATTCTGGCTCTCCGTCTAACTCACAGACTGTCTCTATCGTCTGTTTGTCTGCAAGGGACGAACAAGAGCAACTCACGAAGTAAAACGAAGCTAGAATGCAGAGAGTGCTCCCATTGGTCACTTAAGGCTCGACTGCAACGAGCTCTAACTCTCTCCGAGCGCAACAGTTGAGCACGACCTAGTGTCTGAGTGAAAGTCGCCCTATATAAAGGGCAGCAGCTGCAGCATTTCTTCAGTCTCCCAGGCCTGGTGGGGGTCACTA